TGTTTATAATAAATTATGAACAGTAAAGGTATAGCAGAAAGTTACTGAAGAGTCATGAGCTATATTGACTCAATGGTCAGCTGTCTGAATGACAGTTTAAGAACCACCTAGTTAGCTGAACATGGTGGCGCGTGCCTGTAGTTAAAGGTACTTGGAAGACTGAGGTGGAAGGATCACCTGAGTCCAGCATGTTGAGGCTGTGGTGGTTGGGAGTGTGCCACTGCACTCCAGCCTGGGCGACAGAGTGAGATTCCGACTCCCAAAAAACAACAACAACAAAAAACCACTTAGTCTGAACCCAGGGTTCGAGACCAGCCTGGGCAACTTGGCAAGACCTTGTCTTACAATAAATAAAAAAATTAGGCCAGGCTCGGTGGCTCAGCCTGTAATCCCAGCACTTTGGGAGGCCGCGGTGAGTAGATTGCCTGAGCCCGCGGGTTCAAGACCCGCCTGGGCAACTTGGAGAGACCTCATCTGTACAATAAATCAAAAATTAGCTGGGCGTGGTAGCGCGCACCTGTAGTTCCAGCTGCTTGGAAAGCTGAGGTGGAAGGATCGCCGGAGCCCAGCAAGTCGAGGCTGCGGTGGCCGAGAGCGGCCACTGCACTCCCGTCTGAATGACAGAGTGAGACTCCAACTCAAAAAATAAAAAAATAAATAAAATAAAAAAGTTAGCCAGGCATGGTGGTGCACGCCTGTAGTTCCAGATACTTGGAGGGGTGAGATGGAAGGATCTCCTGAGCCCAGCAGGTTGAGGCTGCGGTACCTGCTATTGCTGCACTCCAGCCTGGGCAACAGTAAGACTCCAACTCAAGAAAAAAAAAGAAAAAAAAAAAAAAAAAAAGAAACATCTAAACTCCTGGACCCCAGGAACTACCCAGTATGCTAATGATGGATGTCAATTCACTGGACTCCAAACCAAACTCTACACAAGAGCTAACTGGTGCCTTAGCTGATCAGAGGCCAGTTTAGGGCCCCTGGCAATGGCAGAATGTCTAGGTTCGGGGGGACTATTGACAATGATCTAATAAGATGCTGTCCTTATTCTGAATCGTTTCAGTACAGAGTGATTAAGGTTGCTTTCAGCCCTTTTCGTATGCTTTTTCTATTTTTTAATTTGGAAAATAAACTGGGAAGAAATTACAATAAAATATTACTCTCACCTGTTTTCTTTTGATCACACATACTTTAGATTGCAGACTGAATACAAATATTGATCAGAAGCCAAAACACCCCACACATTTCTTATCAATTCAATCCAGTCCAGTCTGTCTTTCAACTATACATTTTTAAGTTCTTGCCTCACCACTGACTAAAATAAATATATGAATAAATAGCAATGTAATCCAAATAAGCATCTTTCAATTATACTTATCTGAAGCAAAGATTTGATGATGAGTAGAGTTAATCCATCTTACCAATTGCAGCTTCAATGCCTGTTCAGTCATGCTTAAATGTCTAGATTCAATTCATAGAGAATATGAATATATAACATTGTAGAGGGAGGCTCTGGCAGATCCTGTCTGACAGGGACAAAAGGTCAAACAGTTCTTTTGCTATTCTGTGACAGTTTGAGTCTCTGGGCTGGGACAGAGGGTGGGAGAGTTATGTCTATATCTGGAATGGATCACTCACACAATTAAGTTCTTGTCAGACCAAAAAACATGACAGCACAACTTCCCCCAGGCAAGAGGACAGCTAGATGGAAAGTAACTATTTTTTTTCCACCTATCTTAAAATTTGAAATGAGTATGAGAATTAATGATGGAAAAAACATTTCTAAGTTTTAGAATATACTCCTACTTGAGCTGCTGGGGTTACTATTTTGGGGTGATATTTGGAAGTCTTGGGAAAACAGAGTCTGCTTTTTCCCTCACTGGAAACTGATTACTCAAGTAAAAAACTAACTCACCCTCACATCACCTTTTAAGTCACAAATTGAGCTATCAGATAGTCACTATAGTGTAGACAGTGCTCAACTACTGAATCCACACTTTTATTCATTATACATATAATGCTGTTTGTATGTAGAATTTAGATATTAATATATCAGCTGATGAGTGGCCATTTAAAGTTCCTGTTGTGTTGCCTGCAAGCTACAGTTTAGTCTTGGCATGTTCATCATCTTTGGCTGACATGAGTGTTTGTTTGTGTTCAATTATTGGCAATATAAAAACACTGAGCCAAAGATAGAAACTATTAGGCTTGCTATAGGTGCCAAGTATCTGGCTTCAATTATATACTCATTGTGTGATACACTACAAAGGAAAAGAATAAGTAAATAAGTATAGTTTTGGAAACATATTGCTGAAGACTGTAAAAAAGGCAAGAAACAATGTAGGTTTGTTCCTTGAGAAGGACCTTTCCTCCACATACACATATATTGAACATGCTTTAGTCTACTGTTCAACTTTCAGTGATTTGACTTTATTACACATTTTTGCAGACCTACTATATATAAAAGAAAATAGGAGACTACGCATGGTCAAAGGTTAGACTCTAAATCAATTATTAGTAACTATGATAGATTCACATAGATCCACAGAAGATTAAGACAGAAGGATCCTTAGAGTTTATCTACTTCAAAATGATAGCTCTGCAGATGAAAAAAATGAGGTCATAAAGATTGTTTTATGGTCTAATGGTCTACAGCTAAGTTTATGGTGGTGCTGGCCCCAGAATTGGGGCTTCTCTAACTCAGCATTCTTGCCATCACTGTCATTTTGAGTGTTCTACAATCATGTTAACACTGTAATTCTATCTGGAGCCTTGAAAATCATGGGAGGTGTAATTCCTGATAACCTTTGAAACTACAGCTTCCAGATTCTGGTCTGTGAATGTCTGGAACCCTTGTTACACAAAATTAATACTGTGTCAAGTAAGATTTGAATGCCAAATCAATACTGGCTGATGTTGCAAATGTTTTTAAATGGTTTCAAAATTTTATCTTCCAGGTGAACAGTTAAATATTACTTATTCTCTAGCAAGCTTATCTATGATTGTCCTGTTCTTTATATTACCTTACAGTACATAACATGTTTTGAAATAATACATTTACTTACTTATTATGTATCTTTCCCAACAGTGTGAAAATTTAATGAAGATAGGGCCATTTTTGTTTTGTTCACAATTTTTTATATTAACACCTAGCACAGTCTTGGCATATAAAAGAGGCTCAAATAATACCTGTTGAACAGACAAATGAATTCGCTTATCATGACTGAGGCGAGCCTTATGGAAGCTGTAATTATCCCTTTTATCCTATTCTAAAGTTGGTATCTAAGCCCAGGACCAAAGTTCCATAGAAGTAGATTTAACCTCAGCAAAAGCTACCATTTAGAAAGATTCAGAAATAGGATGAGCAATTTTGTAGGATGCTGAGCTCTTTGTCAAAAAGAGGCTGGAAAACCAAGTGCCCAGGTGAATAGGATCTCTCTGCATTAGGCAGAAGGCCAGTCTTGAAAATCTCAGGTGTCTTCAAACTCTTCTGGAGTTTTTCAGCTATTTGATTTTGCATTAGATTAAAATAAAGTATATATACAAACATCTCTAGAAAACATCTTAGAAGAAGCCATCTAATGAGACTTAAAAATTGATTATTCAGTTATGTATGCCCCTTCACAAGACTAAAACAAGTAAAGAATTTTTTAGCCGGCCATGGTGGCCCATGCCCGTAATCCCAGCACTTGCGAAGGCAGAGGCGAAAGAAACGTCAGAGCCCAGGGGTTTGAAACCAGCCCAAGCAACTTGGTGAGACCTCAACTCTGTAATACAAAAAATTACCCAGGAATGGTGGCACATGCTTGTGGTTCCATCTACTTGGAAGGTTCAGATGGAAGGACTGCCTGAGACCAGCAGGTCAAGGCTGCAGTGGCCGTGAGCATGCCACTGCACTGCAGACTGGGCAACAGAGTGAGACTCTTTCTCTCTCCCCCTCACTCATGTAATTATTAAATCAACTTAGTGAGGAAAGCAATGCTTCAGCTCATCCAGAGTAAGCGGCATGTCTGAAGTGCTAGAATTGTCAGGTTTAAAACTCCCAAATTAGTACTCTTTTCACTCAAATAGACCTCACTACTTTTTCCTCTAGCATAACCTATCCTTTAGGCTTAAATTTTCATCCTCATCTTGTATTGAAAACATCTTTCTCCCAAATTTCACTGGGAAAGGACCAAATGGAATTTTAAAATATAACTTTTCTCAGTAGGTATCAATTAAAAATATATTTTATTGATTATTATAGAAGTTATAAACATCTAACATAAATGAATTATAATACAACAGTGATTAAAGAATTTTTTTATAGCAGGATTTATTGAGAGGACAGAAAAGCTCCCACAGTGGGAGGGGACCTGAAGGGCTGCCCGATTAAAGAGTTTAAATTGTTAATGTAATATCTCATTACCTTTTATAATTAAGGAGCAACAATAATTAAATGTGATTTTTTTCACCCAGTTCAACAAAAGAAGATTCGAATTCAGAATAGCAATTTCATTAAATCAAGTATGACTTTAAAAAGGAATTTTTTTATTTCAGCAATGTTTAGTAAAGCACTGAGAATAGGATGGGCATTTATTACAGGCTAAACGGCAAGGGAGAATAGATCCAACAATATTTTATTTTCAGCTACTAGCTGTTTCTTAAAAGTTACACAAGGAAGTGATCTAATGATTAAAGACAAAGCAAAACACTGTCTTAGAGTCTGAAAGGACCTTTGGGACCCTTAGTTCAATTTCTTAATTTCTTCTTTTTTTTTTGAGTTGGAGTCTCACTCTGTCACCCAGACTGGAGTGCAGTAGACACACCCACCACTGCAGCCTCGACCTGCTGGGCTCCGGCGATCCTTCCGTCTCAGCCTTCCAAGTAGCTGGAACTACAGGCACGCGCTACCATGCCCGGCTAATTTTTGGCTTATTGTAGAGATGAGGTCTCACCAAGTTGCCCGGGCAGGTCTCGAACCCACAGGCTCAGGCAATTCACTCACCTCAGCCTCCCAAAGCACTGGGATTATAGGCTGAGCCACTGAGTCCAGCTTCATTTCTTCTTGAGGTAATACATTTGAGAGTCCACTTGCTATACGTACCTCTTCTTGGAGTTCATCCTTCCATGAAATGCCCTGAACTTTCTAAGAAAATCATAATCACTTCTATTTTTATATGTCATATCTTATGACACAATTATATATCGAAACTTGCATTTCTAAACTCCAAACGTGCATTCTCCTGTATGCATTTCATGTGCAGTGCCTTTGCCATGGAGTGCTTTTCCTTAACCAATCTTCCAGCTATAAAAGACATGAATGAGTAAACCTTGGAAAAGGGATAACATCTTTGATATTGTCAACTCCCAAGATGCACTGCAGGTAACGTTCAAATCCCATTCCAAAACCTCCATGTGGCACAGATCCAAATCGACGAAGGTCCAGATACCTGTTTTTTAAAAACAGAGAATCATCACCTATAAATGCTGTATGAGATCAGACGTTATGATAAGAATTTTATGTTTCAAAAGTATTTTGCAATGTTTTGTTATTGTCCACATCACTGTGGTAGACCAGTCTTTCCCCACCACAGACAGATGATGGAACTGGAGAAGATAAATTATCTATCCAAGGTTATGCAAACGGAAGTATATTCTGTCATTCAGTCATGAAGCTTTGGTCACTTGATGCTTTTCAAGTTATTTATACACTTATGTATAGAAAACTTGGTTATGAGACTACAGCAAATTTTCTAATAGCTTTACTAGTTTTCTTGAAAATGCATGAGACTGTATTTTGGTATGTTAATGATAATGCTCTTATTTTTTTTTCTTACCAAAATTATATTATTCAATACACAGAGGACAGTGAAGAGTTTTGCCTGATACATTACAAAAAGATTTCTCCTAGATTAGACTGTAAGTTACAATAGGGCAGGAACTATGCCTCATTCAACTTTTTACCTCCAGGGAATGCTCTAGAATAGGAGCTTACTACATGAAGGCTTATTGTTTGAAGGCACAAACAATTCTTGAGTGTTGGAGTGAGGAGAAACCTCCAGTTTTCTGCTTCACGCCTGGCAAAGGTGCCCAGGGTCATTTTTCTGGCAGGCTAGATGGACTCTGAAATCTACCAATGCATGTTCTATTCTCATTTAAGACTACTTGGCTAGAAAATGGCACAGTCATGATTGAAACTCAGATTCTAACACAACATCATTGGATTAAGTTATTTTAGAAAGGAAAAAAAAAAGGAAGACTATAAATATTTTTTTATGTTATTTGGTAGAGAAATCCTTGAGCTATATAATATTGATTAAAACAAGTTTATATCAGCCGGGCTCGGTGGCTCAGCCTGTAATCCTGCGCCTTTGGGAGGCTGAGGTGAGTGGACTGCCTGAGCCTGCGGGTTCGAGACCCGCCTGGGCAGTGAGACCTCATCTCTGCAATAAATCAAAAAATCAGCTGGGCGTGGTAGCGCACGCCTGTAATTCCGGCTACACGAAAGGCTGAGGCGGAAGGATCACCAGAGACCAGCAGGCGAGGCTGCGGTGGCCGGGAGCCGCTACTGCACTCCAGTCTGGGCAACAGAGTGAGACTCCAACTCAAAAAAAAACAAAAAAAAAAAACCCCAAAAAACAAGTTTATATCTTCTTGAAAGATTTGTAAAATCAGTTCCACAGTAAGACTTGAGCATAGCTGGTAGCCATTTGTCTCCTGAAGAATAAAGATTATCTGTCACCTATTTCCTCACGGCTAAAAACGATGGTTACATCTACTGGTATTTTAGAGAGTTAAGACTAGGTATTATGTATTTGTTTTATTTTATTTATTTGTTTTAGAGTCAGAATCTTGCTCTGTCACCCAGATTGGAGTGCAGTGGCACACTCCAGGCCACCGCAGCCTCGACCTGCTGGGCTCAGGTGATCCTTCTGCCTCAGCCTTCCAAGTAGGCGGAACTACAGGCGAGCACTATCATGCCCAGCTAATTTTTGATTTGTTGTAGAGATGAGGTCTCACCAAGTTGCCCGGGTGAGTCTTGAACCCACGGGCTTAGGCAATTCACTTGCCTCGGCCTCCCAAAGTGTTGGGATTACAGGCTGAGCCACTGAGCCCGGCTGGTACTTATATTTTTGAATTCCAACTAGAAGAGCAACAACTGGATGAGAGATCAATAGGACAGGGGTATCTAGTATAAAACTTCAGATTAATAAAAACTGTAAGGAATAAAGGAAGGAACATCGTCTTAATGATTGAAATATTTGGTAACTATTAATAAATTAACTTTTAAGTTTAAAAGGTATAGGGAAAAGGTATACTTTGACTTAGTGACAAAATGAGATGAAGGGCACACCAAACCATCTGTGACGAACACCTGCAGAACTTGAGCTGGATGCTACGAGGTCCAGCAATAGGTTTAGATGGGTCTAAATTTGTCATACATAGATGTCGAAATGCTGACATGAATGAATGTCTGCAAACTCAATCAGCAGAGGTAGTGTTGGTACTTGGTTTTTTGGTTGCCTTTGCTTTGATAGATGAAAAAAATCCACTTCTTAAAAAAAAGTTTTTTAATCTGTATTTCTAATCTGTTTGATTGCTATTGTCATTAAATTGGTTCTAGAGTAGCCAGAATATAAAAGACAAGTTACAAAATTTGTGGAACCAGTTACAGATTTCATTTGCAGCTGGCATGTAGAACAGGAAATGACTACACTCTTAGACACCTGGAGTGTCCACTCAGAGTCTGGTGGAACACAAGCAGAGATCACAGATGTGAAGAAAGAATCTGAGGTAAAATGCATAAGCTTGCCCATTCAGACTTACCCACCTAATAACAAGACTCAGAACAACAGAAGGAAAGAGAGTAGGAGGTAGGCATTTACTGAGCTTCTATTTTTTTTTTTTTTTTTGAATTGGAGTCTAACTCTGTCATCCAAGATGGAGTGCAGTGGCACGCTCACGGCCACTGCAGCCTCAACCTGCTGGGCTCAGGAGATCCTTCTGCCTCAGCCTTCCAGTAGCTGGAACCATAGGCATGCACCACCATGCCCAGCTAATTTTTGGATTTACTGTAGAGATGAGGTCTCGCCAAGTTGCCCAGGCGGGTCTCGAACTTGTGGGCTCAGACAATCCTCTCACCTTGGCCTCCCAAGGTGTAGGGATTATAGACATGAGCCACCATACCAGGCCTACTTAGCTTCTGTTCTACCTAGATACTTAACCTATATTGTTTCATTTTACCCTCACAATAACCCTGTGAAGGAGACATTATCATTCTATCCCATAGCCAAGAAAACCAATACTCAGAGAGATTAAATATTGCCTAAGGTCATTACTGGTAAGTTTGAGGTGGGAACCAAAAAAACTTGGAATTATCTTTTTTGGAGGACAGGCCCCTTGTAGAACAGGCTTCACCGGCTAGTTAAGTGTTCCGGGAACCCATAGGCATCAGCATATCAGCTAGTATTGTTGTAAGAGGCTGTGTTTGGCTTCAGTGAATTTGTTTTTAAGATTCTTTCAGTATGTTTGCCCATTTTATGATGTACCTGTCCACAACGCATTGCATGTTCAGCAGTTTTTGACCAAAAATGGCACGATCTCCATGCCCCACCTTCCCTATCACTCGATCTCACCCCAAGTGACTTTTTTTTTCCTTAGGTGAAAAAAGTCCTCAAAGGAAAACATTTTGCTGATGTGGAAGAGGTGAAACAAAAAATGGCAAAAGCACTAAAAGGTATCAAAATGGACAGGTAAAAATTGTTTTGAGCAGTGGAAAAAGCATCTTGACAGGTGTAGTGCATCAAATGGAGAGTACTTTATTTCCTTCCTTCCTTCCTTCCTTCCTTCTTTCTTTCTTTCTGAGTTGGAGTCTCACTCTGTTGCTCAGGTTGGAGTGCAGTGGCATGCTCACGGCCACCGCAGCCTTGACCTACTGGGCTCAGGCGATCCTTCCAAGTAGCTGGACCTACAGGTGAACGCTACTACGTCCAGCTTATTTTTTGGTTTATTGTGGAGATGAGGTCTCACCAAGTTTCCCAGGCTGGTCTTGAACCCCCAAGCTCAGGCAATCCTCTCGTCTCGGCCTCCCAAAGTGCTGGGATTACAGGCTTGAGCTACCATGCCTGGCAAACAGAGAGTACTATAAAGGTGACTGAAGTTTAAGCATGTGAATAAATAAACAATTTTTTATAAATAAATTCTGGTTTTTGGGGGTCCCCCCTCATGCAAGGGATTCAAAGACCATTACCTAACCCAGCTTTAGCTTTTTACATCTCTGAAACCTATTTGCTTCTTTACCAAAAGGCAAAAGTGTAACTTGCTCCTTCCTCTTCCTGGGGACAGCAAAAGGATTAATAATGTTCTTGATATTATTGTACCAAGATCCTGAAGGAGTACAAGTACAGAAATATAAATAAATAATTTATATATGTTAAAAAGTACTTCAAGAAAGGGACTGCAGAAAGAAAACCAGAACAACTTTGAGGAAGTGAATGTCTGAGTACAGACAGGTGGTCTTCCCTAAGCAGCTCAGATGTCTACAGGTCATAGAGACCTGAGGATCACTTAGCTCAAGTCCCTGAATTCACACACAAAGAAACTGAAACATAATGGTTATGAGCAGAGAAATCAGAGAGATCAAGTCCTCACTCCGTGCTTTTAACTGGGTGATGTTGGTTACATTAGGTAACATCTTTGGGCCTCAGGTCTAAAGGGGTAATAAAAAGAGGCCAATATAGTACCTAACTCATAGGCTGTTATGATGATTACATGAGATAATATATATAAAAAATTAAGCCGGGCTCGGTGACTCAGCCTGAAATCCTGCGCCTTTGGAAGGCTGAGGTAAGTGGATTGCCTGAGCCCGCGGGTTTGAGACCCGCCTGGGCAGGCGAGACCTCATCTCTACAATAAGTCAAAAAAATTAACCAGGCGTGGTAGCACGCGCCTGTAGTTCCAGCTACTTGGAAGGCTGAGGTGGAAGGATTGCCGGAGCCCAGCAGGCCGAGGCTGCGGTGGCCGGGAGCGGCCACTGCACTCCAGTCTGGGCGATAGTGAGACTCCAACTCAAACAAACAAACAAACAAAAATTTAAACAGTTATCTGACACATAATAAGTAATAACTAAAAGGTAGCTATTCTTATCACTGTTTTTCAAGAATCCAAAGGGGGTAAGTAATCTTCTGAGTGCCCCTCCTCTCCCTCTCCTGTTCACTGTTCTTAGCACTCCTCCATAGGGACTTAGGAATACCAAAAAAAACTATTCTAGGCAACACTCAGACAAGCAGTGAGAATAAGAATTATTAGAGGCCACATTCTTACCATTGGTAGACTTCTGTAAGTCCTAATCTGTGAAAGAAAAACAACAAAGTTCTTTCAGGGAATGGCAATGGGCAAATATGTTAAGCACTAAACACTTGCTCTGGGTTGTGAGGAAAGAGCTCTTTATAAATAAGTACACAGGCCGGGCTCGGAGGCTCAGCCTGTAATTCCAGCACTTTGGGAGGTCAAGGTGAGGGGACTGCCTGAGTCTGGGGGTTTGAGACCTACCTGGGCAACTTGGCAAGACCTCGTCTCTACAATAAATCAAAAAAATTAGCCAGGTGTGGTAGCGTGTGCCTGTAGTTCCGGCTACTTGGGAGGCTGAAGTGGAAGAATCACCAGAGCCCAGCAGGTGGAGGCTGCGGTGGATGGAGTATGCCACTGCACTCCAGTCTGGGTGACAGAGCGAGACTCCAACTCAAAAAACAAAAGAAAACAAAAAAAAGCAGCACACAAAAAAGCCTGTGCTCTCAAATAACATACAATATAGTTGATGAGCTGAAATTTTATGGTAAGTTAGCCAATAACCCAAGGTATTATCAAATAAGCAGTTTAAACAATAAATGCTACAGAAAGAAAATAGGATCAAGAGCCCAAAAGAAGGGATTCACTTGAGATTAGTTTATCGTCCCATGACATAAGAAAAGCACTATTATTATTGTTAAGATTCTTGGGAGGTACACATTGGCAAGGGACACACTGACACAGTTTTCTTTCTTTTTGAGTTGGAGTCTCACTCTGTTGCCTGGGCTGGAGTACAGTGGCATGCTCACGGCCACCTCAGCCTCGACCTGCTGGGCTCAGACGATCCTTCCGCCTCAGCCTTCCGAGTAGCTGGACTTACAGGCATGCGCCACCATGCTCGGCTAAGTTTTTTGATTTATTGTAGAGATGAGGTCTCACCAAATTGCCAGGCTAGTCTCGAACCTGTGGTCTCAGGCAATCTTCTCAACTCAGCCTCCCAAAGTGCTGGGATTATAGTGTGAGTTACCGCACCCGGCTCAGACACAGCTTTCATTCTTCAACACTAAACCAATAATATAGATTCTGAGGTTGCCTTTGTAGTATGGCTGAAAATTGGTGCTTGTTAAATTTGAGAAATATTAATAAAATTTCAAGCTCTTATTGCTTATAAAAATTAATCCCAGCTCTTTAAAAAATGTACTGGGGAACACTATATCTAAAGTGATTAGGACAATGAAAAATTCAAATATATAAAAACACAGAAAATATGAACAGTAGCCACAGACAAATTCCTGAGACAAGGAATCACATATATTCATTTCATTAGAAAAGAAAAATTTGCATATTAACAGATATTAGGTAAACATTTAATGCTATGAGGAAAGGTTTCCTGAAGGAAAAAAGCAAGCAAAGAAAACAGACCAATTAATCTTTCAACAGATAAGTTTCTCGCCATGTGTGATTTTTATTGTGCTTTTAAAAATACTCAGAGAATTCTCAGATTCTTTCCATCTAAATAGTCTAACTTCACTTCAATTCCATAACTTTCCCAGGACTTTCTAACACTTACAGTAGTAGAGTAAGAAGTCTGTAGTCTAACTGATACAAAGTATCTTCCCCAAACATACTTATTCCTATACTTTTGGATCATAACTCCACAGAGCAGTTCGAATGACAGAGATTACAAAACTAAATTGCCCAAGAGATTTTATATACAGAGTGAGATTTTGGAAAAGCATCAACTGCTTAAGCATTTCTCCATTAGGAAAAGAAGGTCTTACAAATAGGTTCTTTAACAGAATATTTTATGGCTTTTCCAGGTTACTATGAAACCCAATATTACCTAGAGAGAAGGTTCAATCATACAGACATGGCAAAGTCTTTTTTTTTTTTTTTTAAGTTTTGCACAGTAAAAGTAAAAATCATGGAAAACAGAGGTTTGTAACCTTGGTTAGTTTAGGAAGTCATTATGGTTTGTTGGCAGACTATACATATACAGGAGTGGTAGTTCAATTAGAAACATGATTCTCTGCTTCCCATCTCCAAAACATTGTCTATGTGCTTATGGATTCATTTTCCAAGTCTCAAACAGTAAGTTAAAATAAAGTTATTCAAATAACTAAATTAAGACCCTTACATAGTAAAGAACCAGAGAAAGAGAAATGTGCTTATTCTAAATGCTAGCTTAGTGGATACCTTTAGTAGTTGTCTTTCCCTAACTTTATCTTTTCCCTGATTCAGAGTTTGTCTTTATGTCCCCATAGGAGTCTGTCAATCATAATTGAGAGTAACAAAAAGAAGATAAGAGGAAAATATAGGACAACTTTGAGGGGGAAATCTCCCTCCTCATTTGAATTATTTTATTTTCTAGAGTTAGGGATCTTACTCTGTTGCCTAGGCTGGAGTACAGTGGCACATCACGGCACACAATTTGACTTCCTAGGCTCAGGTGATTCTTCTGTCTCAGCCTCCCAAGTAGCTGGGACTACAGGCAGGCACCAACATGCCCAGCTAATTTTTTTTATTTTTAGAGATGAGGTTTCACTTTGTGCCCAGGTTGGTTTTGAACTTCTGGGCTCAAGCACTAATTTTATTATTAACTTTTTTAAAAGCTACTTTCCATAGGGAAAGATATATACAAGTAGCAGGCACTTTTTTTTTTTAGTTGGAGCCTCACTCCGTGGCCTTGACTAGCTGGGCTCAGGCGATCCTTTTGCCTCAGGCTTCCAAGTAGCTGGGACTACAGGTTTGTGCCACCATGCCTGGTTAATTTTTTTAACTTATTGTAGAGTGAGGTCACATCAAATTGCCCAGGCTGGTCTCGAACCCCTGGGCTTAGGCAATCCTCTCATCTCAGCCTCCTAAAGTCTGGAATTACAGGCATGAGCCACCATGCCTGACCAGCAGGCACATACTGTTGCAAGCTTTTCTTTTCCTGAGACAGGGCCTTGCTCTGTCACCTGGGCTGGGGTACAATGGCATGATGATAGCTCAGTGCAGCCCCAAACTCCTGGGCTTAAGGGATCCTCCTACCTCAGCCTCCTGAGTAGTTAGGACTACAGGTATGCACCACCACAATCTCATTAATTTTTTAATTTTTTGTAGAGATGGGGGTCTCACTCTTGTTGTCCAGGCTTGTTCGGGCTTTTCATATAACAGTTCAGTCTTAAAAAAAGGAGGCTGGACATGGTGGATCAAGATGTAATCCTAGCACATTAGGAGGCCGAGGTGAGAGGATTGCCTGAGTCCAGGGGTTCAAGGCCAGACTGGGCAACTTGATGAGATCTCGTCTTTACAATAAATCAAAAAATTAGCGAGGTGTGGTGGCGCGTGCCTTTCCAGCAACTTGGAAGGCTGAGGCGGAAGGATCATCTGAGCTTAGCAGGTTGAGGCTGAAGTAGCTGTGAGCATGCCATTGCACTCCAGCATGGGGGACAGAGTGAGATTCCAACTAAAAACAAAAACAAAAACCCCCAAAAAGGGAAGCTCAGAGAAGTTAAGTAATAACTTGCTCAAGGTCACATCAAATCTCAGATCCAGGTCTGTCAGGCACTCATGTTCTTTTCTGTTACTACGCCAAGACCACCTTTGAGTGACTCATCCCCCATTTCTGAATTGCGTCTAAGTCTCACCAATACCTGGCCAAGCGCTGCTCTAAGAAATGGTACCGTTCTTCTCTGAGGCTTCCTCCAAAGAGTTCCCCAACACCAGGAACCAGAAGATCAACAGCAGCAACCTAGAAAGGAAAAACAAATCATTATTAGCATTATATTTTCAGGTGATTCCAATAGTTAGCTTCTCAAGCAGGCAGAATTTTAACATTGGACAATGGCTGATTTAACTGTCTAACAAAATCTTAGTTTATATGTCCATGATCCCTGTTTCCTCTCTCCTCTTGCACCATTTATGTTGTATATGTAACAAAAGAGTGCTTTCTTCATAAATGTGATGTAAATGTCAATTTTGAAAATGTGGAAAGCATTAAAAATTATGAAATAGTAGAAATTACCTATCACCATAAAAAAATTACATTTGGGCACACATTTCCTTTCAGGTTTTTTTTTTAAAATACCTCTATAAAAAGAGTATGTGAGAGCTCAAATTACATGTAAAAAATTACCATTTTAACTGCCTTACCTAATACTATATAATTAACATTTTTCCTTTGTCTGTAAAAATACTTCACACATTTAATATTTTAATAGCTGCATAGTTTATTGTTTAGAATTATTAATATTATAATTTATTTAACTGCTTTCCTTTTTCTTTTTTTTAGTGACAAAGCAGGATTTATTGAGAGGACAGAAAAGCTCCCACAGTGGGAGAGGACCTGAGGGAGTTGCCCAACTGCTTTCCTTTTTCATTTAACACTTAGGTGTGTGAATAGCTTTGTTTGTTTGTTTTTTAAATAAACAATAGGACAGTAAAGAGATTTCTTTAATTTGTAGTATTTTGTTAGGACATATAAAAGAAGTTCTGATTATTAATGAAAAAAGTACAAATTAAAAGAATAAGATGCCATTTTGGAGTTATCAAAATGGTGCTGATAAGAAAATAACATATCTGCAGGACTAGGTCTGAAAGAAAAAAAATAGCATACACAATATAAACAAGAGAATGTGTAAACCAATACTTTCATACAATTGATATCACCTTTTTGGTTAGCAATTAGGCAACAAATAGTCAAAAACCTTAAAAATGCAATATGCTTTTTACTCAGCAATAGCAGTTCTACGAAGCAGTCCTAACAAAATTATCAGAGATGCTAAAAAAGATTAATGCACAGGATGTTTAGTACAGTAATACCTCTAATAACAAAAAATTCAAATGTACGTCAGTAGGAGACTGTTAAATTTTAGACATGAATAGGAAAAAGATTAAACAGATTGTTGAGGGGGAAAAATAATAAAGAAATTCTGGACATAACTGGACATTTGCCCAATTGAGATCTAATAGACATGTATAGAATACTCCACCAAACACCACAGAATATACATTCTTCTAATCTGCATATGGAATATATTCTAAGATTGACCATATGCTCAGTCATAAAGCAAGTTTCAAAAAATTGAAACCATCTTCTTGGACTAAATTGGAATAAAATTAGAAATCAATATAAGAGGAACTCTCAAAACCACAAATACAACAAAACTGAACAACTTCTTCCTGAATGACTTTTGAATAAACAACAAAATTAGGGAAAAAAAAAAAATTATTTGAAACAAATGAAAATAGAGGCACACATACCCAAACCTCCAGGATACAGCAGAAACAGTGCTAGGAGGAAAGTTTATAGCACTAAATGCCCACTTGAAGAAAATAGAAAGATCTCAAATTAGCAACCTAACACTTCACTTAAAGGAACTAGAAAGACAAGAACAAATGAATGCCAAAGCTAGCAGAAGAAAAGAAATAACTAGAATCATATCAAAATTAAATGAGATTGAGACCATAAAACTATACAAAGTGGCTGGGCTCGGCGGCTCAGCCTGTAATCCCAGTACTTTGGGAGGCCGAGGCGAGTGGATTGCCTGAACCCGCGGGTTCGGGACCAGCTTGGGCAATTTGGTGAGACCTCGTCTCTACAATAATATAAAAAATAACTGGGCATGGTAGCGTGCACCTGTAGTTGTGGCTACTAGGAAGGCTGAGGTAGAAGGATTGCTGGAGCCCAGCAGGTCAACGCTGGGGTGGCCATGAGCGTGCCATTGCATTCCAGCCTGGGCAAAGGAGTGAGACTCCAATTTAAAACAAAGCAAAACAAAACAAAACTATAGAAAGTATCAACAAAACAAAAAGTTGGTTCTTTGAAAGCATTTACAAAATGACAAACTGCTAGCTAAAGTAACAAAGAAAAAAAGAGAGAAAATTCAAATAAGTCAAACCAGAAATTACAAAGGTAACATTACAACTGATCACACACAATGCAAAAGGTTCTCAGCGTCTACTATTTAACATCTCTATGCGCAAAAAATAGAAATCTAGAGGAAATGGAAAAATTTCTTGAAACACACACCTCCTAAGAGTGAACCAGGATGAAATTAAAACCCTAAAGAGACCAATAATATTTACAAAATTCACTCAGTAATTAAAAAAAAAAAAGGCCCAGAACCAGACAGATTCGCAGCTGAATTCTACCTGACACACAAAGAAGAGCTAGTACCAATCTACTGACTTCCAAAAAAGCGAGGACAAGGGATTCCTCCCTGACTCATTCTATGAAACTGGTATCATCCTAAAACCAAAATCTGGCAAGGACACAATAAAAAAAAGAAAACAACAGGTCAATAACCCTGAACACAGACACAAAAATCCTCCACAAAATACTAGCAAACCAAATATAGCAGCACATCAAAAAGATCATTTACAATGATCAAGTGGGTTTTTTATTCCTGGGATTCAAGGATGATTCAACGTATATACACCAATAAATGTGACTCACCACATAAACAGAAATTAAAAACAAAAACCATACGATCATCTCAACAGATGCAGAAAAAGCATGATTAAATACATTACGGCCAGGCTTGGTGGCTCAGCCTAATCCCAGCACTTTGGGAGGCCAAGGTGAGAGGATTGCCTGAGCCCACAGGTTCAAGACCAGTCTGGGCAACTTGGTGAGACCTCATCTCTACAATAAATAAAAAATTAGCTGGGCATGATAGCGCATGTCTGCAGTCCTGGTTACTTGGAAGGCTGAGTTGAAAGGATTGCTGGAGCCCAGCAGGTCGACGCTGTGGTGGCTGTGAGTGTGCCACAGCACTCCAGCCTGGGTGATGGAGTGAGACTCCAATTAAAATAATAATAATAATAAATTAATAAATAAATAAGTACAACAGTATTTCATAATAAGAATCTTCAACAAACTAGGCATTGAAGGGACATATCTCAAAACAACAAGAGCTGTCTATGTCAAACACACAGCCAACATCACACTGGACTGGAACAAGACAAGGATGTCCACTATCACCACTCTTGTTTAACACAGTATTGGAAGTCCTAGCCGAGCAATCAAGCAAGAGAAAGAAATAAAGGGTATACAAATTGGAAAAGAGGAAGTCAAATTATTTCTGTTCACTGATGATATGACTCTATACCTAGAAAACCCTAAAGATTCCTCTAAAGATACCCAGACCCAGCAATTGACTTCAACCAAGTTTCAGAATACAAAAACAACACACAAAAATCAATAGCATTTCTATACACCAATAACATTCAAGTTGAGAACCAAATGAAGAATGCAATCCCATTTACCCGGACCATACACACATACACAAAATACCCAGGAATACCCGGGAATTTAACCAAGGAGGTAAAACAGCTCTACAAGGAAAGCTACAAAACACTGGTGAAAGAAATCATGGATGACACAAAGAAATGGAAAAACATTCCATGCTCATAAATTATAGGAATCATTATCATTAAACTGTCCATACTGCCCAAAGCAATCTACAGATTCAATGCAATTCTTAATCAAACTACTAATGTCACTTTTCACAAAATTAAAGAAAACAATTATAAAATTCACATGGTACCAAAAAGGAGCTCAATAGCCATAGCAATCATAAGCAAAAGAAACAAAGCCAAAGACATCACATTACACAATTTCAAACCATACTACAAGGTTACAGTAACCAAAACAGCATAATAACATTACAAAAATAGGCACATAGATCAATGGAACAGAAAAGAGAACACAGAAATACAGCCACATAACTACAGCCAACTGATCTTCAACAAAGTCAACAAAAATAAATAACCTATTTAACAAATAGTACTGGAAAAACTAGTTAGCCATATGCAGAAGAATGAAACTGGATGCCTACTCTGACCATATACAAAAATTAACTCAAGATGGATTAAAGACTTGAATGTGAAGTCTCAAACTATAAGCGCTCTAGAAGAAAACCTAGGAAAAATTCTTACAAACATTACCCTAGGCAAAGAATTTATGACTAACATCTCAAAAGCAAAAATTACAAAAATAAAAACTGACAATTGGGTCCTAATTAAACTAAAGAGCTTCTGCACAGCAAAAGAAACTATCAACAGAGTAAACAGACAACTTATAAAAGGGAAGAAAACATTTGGAAATTATGTATCCAACAAAGGACTAATACCCAGAATTTATAAGGAACTCAAACATATCAACAAGAAAAAAAATAACCTAATTAAAAAGTGGGCAAGGGCAGGAACAACAGACACTTCTCGAAAGAAGACATACATGTGGCTCAACATCACTCATCATCAGAGAAAAACAAATTAAAACCACAATGAGACACTATCTCACGTCAGCCTGAATGGCTACTGTTCAAAAGTAAAAACAAAACAAAACAAAAACATGTTGTGCGAGCATGCAAAGAAAAGGAAATGTAAATTAGCTCAGCCCCTGTGGAAAGCAGCTTGAAGATTTTTCAAAAAACTAAAAATAGAACCACCATTTAACCCAGCAATACCATTACTGGGTGTATACCCAAAGGAATTTAAACTGTTCTAACAAAAAGACATCTGTACTCATGTTTATTGTCACACTGTTCACAACAGCAAAGTCATGGAATCAACCAAGGTGCTCATCAATAATGAACTAGATAAAGAAAATGTGGTACACATACACCATGGACTACTATGCAGGCATAAAAAAGAATGAAATCATGACCTTTGCAGCAACATGGATGCAGCTGGATGCCATTATCCTAAGTGAAATAAACTCAGAAACAGAAAATCAAAAACTGTGTG